AAAAAAAATTGAACAGGCAAGCGTCGCGCGGTTCCACAAACCGCAGGTACTCCGCCCGTGGAACCGGGGAAAAAACAAAAAAGAAATTCCGGCCAACCGTCGCGCGGTTCTACAAACCGCTGGTACTCCGCCCGTGGAACCGGCACGCGGACTCCCACGAGGGAAACGGGTCTCCCGTGGGTCCGTCACGCGAGACCCGCGTTTTCCTTTATATGTATAGAGAAGAAAAATAATAATAATAATAATAATAAATGGCGGTGCATCTTCCCATGTTTTAGCCAAAGATTGACTCTCATTGTGCACATTTGGAGAGTACTGGAGCGAGGCCCACTCTCAGGACCTCACACACTACATTCAGAATGTTTCAAAACTTCTATGGTGTCCATGTACATGACAAACGGGTCGCCGTGGAAGGCTGCAGCTTCACCAGATCGCGGCACTACTAACAGCACAGCGTACCACCCACGATATGAGGTCCTGACAGCGAAGAGGATTGGAGAAAGTGGCTGAACCTGGATGTTGTTCCCGCCAAAATGCAGAAAAGCAAATCCATCGCAGTTTTATGCACGTGTTCATAAACACCCAGAATCAGCCGATAACCCAATTCCCCTCTGCTTGTGAGACATGGCTCACGGATCACCAAATCCACACAGATCCATGCAGAATCGGCGCAGATTACTCCCACAATCCCACAACAGTAATACAGCTAAAGAAACAGGGGGCAAAAAAAAAAAACACTGGAAAAGCCAACCACATACGCCGAAAACACGGAGCCTTCAACATCCCCCCCCCAAACCCCGAATACTCGATAGATTGGTCGGGGCATTTGACAGCGACCACATCCAAACCCGCTTTTGAGCTCTCTTCGACTTTGGCCAGCCTCCCAACTACCCGCCCGACCGGTCGGTGCACAACGACCGTTCATTCCTACGTCAAAACGATGAGGTATAGCGCAGCCTACGGGCTGTGAACAAAAATATCAGAAATTCAATCTAAGCTGGCTGGGGGATACCTCAGGGGCCAAGTCCTACTAGCAGCATTTGAGTTTCCTCAATTCCTGAATCTGGAAGTGTTTGTGGCAATGTGCGGTTGAGGAAACTCAACACAATTTCTGCACATCTCAACAAACACGTCCAGATTCAGGCATCGAGGAAACTCAGCGCTGCTAGTGGGACTTGGCCCCAGGGGAGAAACTGGGGGAAGTACTTTGGCCAGGAGGAGAAAGCAGCAAGGTCTCCTTCAAAAGGGACTATCAACTCATCTTCTGTGACTGGCTCAGAGCTCAGCCAGGAGCCTCTTTGAGATCTCCACATCTATTCCAGGACTTCTTCCCCACATCGGATTTGGCATTGGTGGAAACTCAATGGCATGGAGGAAATGAGGACTGAAGGAACAGGTTAAACAAATCTGGAACCAGGTTTTATGGATCTATCTGGTGGACTTCTATTTAGTCTGAAGAGGTGACAGATTTCAAGTTTAGTAGGAAATCAGACCTGTATGAGATGAGGGATGTTGGGCGCGGTTACCAGCAAACGCTGTAACAGTTAACATTATCAGACGATGTTCTTGAGGGGACGCAGGACCCATTTTCCAGCAGGTGCAGCTTCCCACCAATAGACTGGAGCCCCCTGCAAGAGAAGTACAAGTGTATGCTCTTACCATCACTTCTATCTGTAGACACAAATGTTAAAAAAAAAAAAAAAATGTTTTTTGTGCCCAATTCAGAAAAGATGGTATTCTGGGGCAAAGTTGGTATATTACTCTCCACATGCGCAAAAGACAAAAAAAATGGTGATCTATATTTCCATGTTCTAGCAGAAGATTCTTTCTCAATTTACACATTCGGTGAGTAGTGGAGTGTGGCCCTTAATGCCCAATTCAGCACAGACAGTATATTTGGGCAGAGATGGTATCTACCTAAGGAAGAAGCACTGTGAGAGAGGGCCAAGAACAACCAGCTGAGAACGTTCATAGATGTGCCTTGCGGAGTCACCATAAGCCTGCCGTAAGTTCACTGCAAAGACATACATATCATCATTCTAATATCGAATCTATTTTTTCAACTAAAATAATCTGATATTAATATCCTAATTAAATATCCAAATTAAATTTCCAAATAATATTCCCGAATATTACAGAATCATCGTAACTCTCAACTCCTATAACTATGCTGATTGGTATTTTTAATACCTAAAATTCCTAAATTCCTACCTCTCGATTTTCTGAATCTCCAATCTGCATTTCTACCTTCCCATAATACCTAAAAATTTTAATTAATTAATTAATAATTAATGAAGTCTTAACTAATCCTTGATTCCCTCAATATGGTTACAGGCGTTTTGATGTTCTCTTGGAATTCTTATAGCATTCAAATCTAATCTCACTTCTTATTTCATCAAAAAATGGAGGTCTAAATGCCGTCCTAAATTTTGTTTTCTCCTCCAACAAGCTCTGATGATTTACTTTCGGATGATGGTGGTTGGGTGTTGAGGGGGAGAGCTCTACTCTGCAGGGGCTACACAAGGTGGGCGGTGAATGCTCTGAAGGGGGTCGGGGCAGAATATGGGGATTGCCCTATTCTGGGGCTGGGGTAGAAGTACATTGTAGCATCATACCCCAGCGGGGGCAGATTAGGGTAGAGGTTGCCAGAGGCATACTTCAGGTGGGAATTGGATGCCTTTGTAGGAACAGGAGGGGGAGGGGGTCTGTCCCAAGCTGGGGCCAATGGAGAATCTCTGCAAGCACGGCAATTCTCTTCGGTGGAGGCAACGCTGGGACAGGGGGGAAGGTGAAAGGGGGGGGGGGAAATTTCTTCAATTGATTTCCAAGGTAATCTTCTAGTGCTATGTACGCGTCTGGGAGACCGGCGGTATCAAGCTTTCTGGTGTGCTGTAATTCTTGGCGGCATCTGTCCTCCTTCCTCGTTCGGATATAGGATTTCAGAGACGGTGGAATCTAGACTGATATATGCTGAGTGGCTTTGTTTTGTGCCCCTGTTTTGCCGATGACAGAACGACGCTGGCCGGAGCTGGGGCGTTGGCCTGTAACCTGCAAATGGTAGGAGTGTGAGGCCTTGTAGAGAGATCTGGGGATTTGCTGAGTGAGGAAAGCAATCCAGTGGCGAACAGGGGGGGCTGCCTTGACAACCTCTGGGACCAGGGATAGTCAAGATGGCGAGAACAGGTCAGCTATGGTTGACGTTGGTTAGGATGGCATTGTCTCTGAGATGTAATGTCCTGGTACAGGGAGGGCTAGGAGTTGTTCTAGGATTAGGAGGCCAGATTTGCTGATATACTATATAGCATATTCTTCTAAATTTTTTACATGCTAATCATCATCATCATCATCATCATCATCATTAGTATCATTATCTTACAGTTTACATAGAATCAGCAGAAGTTCATCATCATCATCATCATCATTATCATCATATGAGGGACACTGAGCCCGGTTCTCAGCATGTTCGGTTCAGTCGCTCCGGGTGGACTGTGAGGACCCCGGCCTCAATCTTCTTATTGGTAAACCGGCCTCAATCTTCTTATTGGTAATATCAGCCTTGGGCATTGGGCCCGTTTAAAAAAAAAA